TGTAAAACAATGTGTCACAAAGGATGAAGTCTTAACATCAAATAAATCCATTAATCCGATTTAAAAGTTTTAACACCTTAAATTTACACAATGATATGTATCAAATTTATTTATTTTTTTAAAGTTGAAAGGATCTCTCACTTGTGTGGAACATGGATTACAGTGGACAAGCTAGGAGTCTGGTGGTAGATAATGGTGGCTAAGAGAGGATGGTAGAGTGAACGTGGAGAGAGATTTGAGATATACTGGAAGGAGTACCAAGAAGACTTCTTGATAGATTAGATAAAAGTTAGGAGGGAAAGAAAAATGTCATGGATATATCAAGCGTTGCTATTTATGGAGCTAGACATTTACTGAGATGGGAAGATTCACGTAGGTGTATGCAGGGTTTGGGATTGTGGGAGAAGTTAAGTAGGTAATTGATGTCTATCTATACCTCATTTTACCTAGTATCCTTTCAGGGAATCTTACCCACCTTCAAGGTAGGCCGTTCACTCTGTTACATATTCTCATAAGCTTCATTCAGAATGTTTACCACTATTTGGATTCAACATCAGCATTTGTGATTCACTGTTTTTCTTCCTCATGTCCTTCCCACTGGATCATAGACTCAACGAGGGCAGAAGAGGTGGCAGTTTTGTTCACCATGTTACCTTCAGCGCAAGCACTATGCTGGGGACAGATTAGGTCCTCAGCAAATAATTATCCAATGCATAAATAGGTTAATTCTAATTTCTTCTTTTTATCCTGCCTATTTCAGAGTGCTTGGTCACCGACCAACCACCACTCTACCAGATAGGAAACCACAGCTCTGGGGTAGCAAGGAGTTTCTGCAGCGCTAAGACCAGAGAGAGTACAAGATGAGACAAAAATATGCCAGAAAAATCCTATAGACAGAGGTATTCCTTTTACCCAGTGTCACTATAAAATTCCAAGAGCAGTAAGGAAAAATGAAACAAAACAAAACAAGCACAACAACAATGAAAACCTAAAATGAATCATCTAGATTTCATCATAGAGAAATAAGAATATTTCTTTGGGAAAGATTCCTCTTTATATTCAAATATTATTCTATAAATTTTACATTCAGCTTGTTAAATATTTATTGTGTACCTATTATAACCCAGAGACTTTGTTAGCATTCAAATATGTCTCTACAAGAAAGGAGATCACAGAGTTCACTATAATTATAATACACTATTGTAAGTGCAATGATAGAATAATTCAAGGAGAGCTCTGTGGAAGTTAGAAGGGCCACCTCACAGCCTGAGAAGGCTTCCTGGAGCTATTATTATTGCTTCTCGGCCTTTTGGCTAAGATCAAGTGTATTATTATTGGGTATAAAGGAAGGGAAAAGACCATGTTAGCCAGAGGGATGAACAGGGAACAAAGATAGGTTTAATGAACAGCATATTGTGGATCAGAGATCTACAAATTTTACCGGCCAGGAAGTCAAGAAGACGAGGCTGGGGAGGCAGGCAGAAGCCAGATCAAGGATGGCATTGTATGACTAACTGGGTAAGGATTTGGGCTTTATTCTGGAAGCAAAGAATAGCCTCTGAGGGCTCTTAAGGAGGAAAATAAACTGGTCACGCTCATTTACCCACTTGGGAGATCAGACTGCACTTGCTGAAGGAGTATAATGTAGGGGTTGAAAGCTATGTCTCTGAAGCCAGCCAAACCGGTTTGAATCTCTGCCCCGAGATTTACTTTTTTTTAAAATTTTTTTTATTATGTTATGTTAATCACCATACATTACATTATTAGTTTTTGATGTAGTGTTCCATGATTCATTGTTTGCGTATAACACCCAGTGCTCCATGTAATACGTGCCCTCTTTAATACCCATCACCAGGCTGACCCATCCACCCACCCCCCTCCCCTCTAGAACCCTCAGTTTGTTCCTCAGAGTCCATAGTCTCTCATGGTTCATCTCCCCCTCTGATTTCCCCCCTTCATTCTTCCCTTCCTACTATCTTCTTTTTTTTTTTTTCTTAACATATAACGTATTATTCATTTCAGAGGTACAGGTCTGTGATTCAACAGTCTTACACGATTCACAGTGCTCACCATAGCACATACCCTCCCCAATGTCTATCACCCAGCCACCCCATCCCTCCCACCCCACCCCCTACTCCAGCCACCCTCAGTTTGTTTCCTGAGATTAAGAATTCCTCATATCAATGAGGTCATATGATACATGTCTTTCTCTGATTGACTTATTTCGCTCAGCATAATACCCTCCGAGATTTACTTTTAAGTGACCTTAGTTAAAATACTTAATCTCTCTGAAAGAAATAATAAGAGAATCTTCTTCATGAAGTTATGGTAGTGATCAAATGATTGAAATAAAAAATATATATATATATTCACTCAGAACAATACAGTGCTAGGAACAGATGTCATAAAGTGTTTGCTATTGTTATTACTTGCTAATCAAATGAAAATATGGAAGACTTTATCAAGGCTTCTTTGCATCAGCATTGCGTCCATAAGGCACGGAAATGTTTTCTCTAGCACCATTATCAATTGCATGGCATAATGAGTAAGAAGTCTTGGGCTTGATGGAAAGGATCACCAAAAGGAAACCTCAGGCTTCCCAGGACGTCAGGCTATAGAATCTCTAAGTACAGTTGGTACTTTTCTCTAGAAGTAATTCAAAATTATTTTCATTGGAAAATCCATGGGACAACGTTCTGTTTGGAAGTTTACACTTTTAATATCTTGTTTCCTCCTAACACATATTGAGTTTTTAGAAATCTGACAGATATGTTACTGCTTACTTTTTATAAGACATATCCCTGCAGGCAGAATCATTCTTCTTTTAAAAATTCTATGTATCCGGGCGCCTGGGTGGCTCAGTTGGTTAAGCGACTGCCTTCGGCTCAGGTCATGATCCTGGAGTCCCGGGATCGAGTCCCGCATCGGGCTCCTTGCTCAGCAGGGAGTCTGCTTCTCCCTCTGACCCTCCTCCCTCTCATGCTCTCTGTCTCTCATTCTCTCTCTCTCAAATAAATAAATAAAATCTTAAAAAAGAAAAAAAATTCTATGTATCCTTAGAAACTAGAACAGTGTTAGGCACATAATAAAACAACTAGCATTTATTTAAAAACTAGTATTTTTCAAATGCTCAATTACTAGTTCTAATTATGAAACAATGTTATATAAAATTTAAGTGACATTTTAATGTGAATTTTCCCCTTCTTGTTTGGATTATATTTCATATTCTATTGATAAATCTCTTAATGACAGCATCTTTAAAAAGTTCATAATCATTTTCAAAGAGTTCTATTAAATGATTTAAAAACTAAAATTATAGAATCTAATAAAATATGACTAATAGAAATGATCATGTAAGTGATATGGCATTTGCTATTATTATTTAATAGAGTGCATTCTGTTGTCCCTCAACATGAAAAAGTTTAATGTATATGTTAAAATGTCTGTTATGGGCAAAGTTTACCCAACCTGAGTTGAACATTTTGTAATCTGTAGCATTTGTTTTACAGTAAATTGGGATTGTTCTAAATTCCACCAAGTAAATAAGTATTTAGTTAAAATCAGATTTACTTACATATTTTTTAAAGTTCTATAATCTCTGAAATACAGTGAAATAATGGATTTAAATAATAAAGAATACATAAATATGAATCTATTGGTTTATATTCTTCCCAGTGTCTCCTCATCTTTACGTCAACATCAGCTTTGACACAATGCCTATAACAGAGCAGATGTAAGCGACTATCAGTAACTTAAACTATGTTATATAGTTAGTAAGATGTTTAACTCAACTAAGATCTCAAGGCATTATTTGATGTCTTGAAACTATTTTATTGTAGGTAAAAAGCATTTGAAAGTTTAGTTTTATAACACTAAACTACTAGTATTCCAAATAGATCACTCTGAACATTAAATAAAAACATTGACCTGCATTTTTCACAGCTATTTTGTTTGTTTGTTTTAGTATATTTTTTGGTCCTTTTGAAAGTATTCATTAACGATATATTTTTTAAAGATTTTATTTATTTATTTGACAGCGAGAGAGGGAACACAAGCGGGGGGAGTGGGAGAGGGAGAAGCAGGCTTCCCGCTGAGCAGGGAGCCCGATGCGGGGCTCGATCCCAGGACCCTGGGATCATGACCTGAGCCGAAGGCAGATGCTTAATGACTGAGCCACACAGGCGCCCCTTCATTAATAATACTTTTAAAAGTTTTATTTTTTAACTTCAACAATTCACATAGGATTTGCTCGAATTTTAAATCAAAATGAATTTGAAAAATTGGCTTTTCTATTCATCACATTCATGATAATGGCATAACTCAATATAACAGTACTAGTAAAATATGTTTCTTAGCACCTGTTCTGTGCAAAGCATGCATCTAAATATATTTGATTTATACGAATCTTGCAGGATCACCCTGTAAAGTTAGTATTTTTATCTGTACCCCCTATACCATATCTGTATTTTACATAAGAAAAAACTCAGTCTCAGGGAGCTCAATTAATTTACTCAAAGTCACCAAGCTAGACAGTACTGGAGCCAGGATTCCACACCAGCTCTGCTTGGTTTGATCTTGATAACTATACCTTCCATAGCACCAGGCTCTGTCAATTTTTAAATCTGTTCATGTCCCAACTGTATTGTCATTTTTTCTTTCATGTTGTGGGTGTCCTTCCGAGCCCCACCAACATACCCTTGAGTTGAATAAACAACTAACAGTCACTGTGGTGTTACATTGCTTATTAGTGACTATCTCAAGTAAAGGCCCCTTTATAAGTGAATTTGATTGGTTCAATTAAAACAAAATTGCTGCATTTTTTGGTTCATCTTTTCTCCATTAGATAAAGTAATGCTTAATTACCTTATCTAACTGCAATGTGATCCAATTTCATCCTGAACATGAAAACATTTTCTGAGAGTGAGAAACTGTTAGCTTGCAATCTTATAGACTCTATAGTTAGGGAGAGAAAAAAAAAAAAAAAAAGAATTGTTTCTTACTTTCCTCTAGTTGTTTCAAAACTTGATTTTTGATAGTTGGTTTTCTGGCTTCCACTGCTGTCACCTCTGCTGAGGTATGTTTCCCGTGGGGACCGATTTCCCAGGCCGCCTGCAACTGAGTTGGGAGAGATCGCTTGTTGATTCGACTTTGTGGCAAAGCTCTGAAGAAATTTCATTGTAGAGTTGGAAAGGACCACTGACTCTGCTCTTGGGCTGAACTTGAGGCTAGGTTTGGTTGGGAGGGCAAGAGGCTGTAACTTAAGCACCCCTTCTATCTTCCTTGGGAGTGTGAGAGTTTGGTTTTTCACACCCTCAGGAGGTGTGCCTGTCTCTGAGGGAGGCAGTGTTGATTTTAGAAGACTCTCTTCAGAGATTCTTGCCTCAGGAATTGTGGCTATCTCCGCTGATGTGATCTGAGGGGTTGGCAGCATTTTATTTAGAGGAACCGTAGCAGAGGCCGCGTTCTCCTGGGAGCTTGCATCCTCAGGGGTAGTCCAAGTATGCGTGGTGTTGATAAGCCCAAAGCCCCCATTCCATAAACTAGAAAGCAGGATAAATAGCCTTGCTCTCTTCATTTCAGTAGTTTGAAGCAAGAAAGCTCATGCAAAATTGGGAGATACAGTCCTTCTGGTCTTTTCAACAGCTACTTCCACACTGAATCCGCTAAGACAGAGCTTTGCCAATTTGAGATGTGTAGAGGAAATAGGTTTCTGTGTTTTGTAGTGGACTCAGGAAGTTTGATTTCCTGTTTCTGTAGGTTTTGTGTGATCTGTGACCTCTGGTGGGATGGATCTATGGAGGTGGTGAAGGGTGTCTGACGAAGCTAAGGGTAAATGGGAAAACACAGGCAATTATTATCAGGAAAACCCATGAGAAAAACATGAAGTAACTTTCCTATGTCCACTCATGTTTCATTGGTTGTTGATTTTGAAGAGAAATTTCACATTGATGATAGGGAGTATGGAATTTTGTTTGGATGAACTGAATCAAGGAGTTTAACATTTTGTTCTACTACACAGGGAAACTGAGAAAAAAAATATGACATTTCTTTTCCACTGTGTCCCATCCAGAGAATCACATTTTGTTCAAATGCTTATATGCATGCACATATAATAAACAAAAACTCATTGACAGTCTCTAACATTTTACACATCACAGGCTTAATTATGGAAAAAAATATATATATATACCTCTATTTTTGTAAATACACTCAGCCAAGGCATTACTTGAAGTTAATCTCAATGATGATAAGTAATAGCAAAAAAGTATAAATTTTTTAATTATACAGATATATATGGAACTTACTTTAAATTTTGCTCTCAGAACTTTTACCAGAACCAGTTTATGGAATGAATAATCAGAATTTTGGATAATAATGGATGAAGAAAAAAATGAAGTCACGTGAAAATAAATTAAAATGGAATCATATATAATGCTTTTGTACTTTTACTGTGGTGCAAAATGATATTAGCTGCAGATAATGGAGAACTAAATTGATTAAAGACTTTTCTATGGTTGTTTTCCTAGTAGAGATGCTTTATGGGATTTATGACTTCACTACTACAGCAAATCTCTGATTTTCAGGCTTCAATTAAGCTCTCTCATCTGTAAAAAAAAATTCCATAGCAGACTCTTTGGACATATAAATAACATGTTATAACAGTTCATCCATTCATTCATTCTTTCAGTAATTACCCAAACCCTCAGTTAGCTTCAGCTAGGTACTCTCTTAGGTGCTGAGATTATAAAGCAAGAATATTCTTGCTCTCTACTTGCTAATGGTCTATTATGTTATCTGAAGACCAGATCTATGTGTAATTAATCTTTCTGCCAATTTTTGTGCCAGGCATTAGGCTCTTGCTGAATATTCAGTCATAAAATTTTTTTCTTTCAGAATTGGATAACCAGAAACCTCGTGCCTATTGGGTTACATATTACTGTCGATATATACTCCTGTCCCTAATCCTGTATACAGAGCACCAGGATTTGAGACAAGGCCTAATTTTTCTCTGAACTACTAACTACTTGGTCATAATAATTTTTTTCTCCCCTTAATTTTTACCATTTATTTCTACAAGTATATTGTTGACAAATTAGAGATATATAATATGAGCTTATTTAAACTAAGACACATTAATCAGTAGCAACCCTAATTAACTTTAATATGAAGTACAAAGCATCTGTTTCTTGGATATACCACAGACCAATCCCACAAAGCTTGCATTAGTAAAAGAGCAAGTAGGTCCAGCACAGACAATCCAGGCAGCAATTCATCACTAAAAAGGGCAATGAAACTGCATAATTTTCACAACACAAACATGGATTTTTCACTACTAAGAAAAAGACATTACAGCATCTCTATCTGTAAAAGACACAACTAGCCTTGGCTTAGAGCAAACTAGTAATTCAGAAAAACCCAAGTAAAAATTTTCTATTTAGGGTACAATTTTAAATCCCTTTTCTAAGATTTAGTAAAAGTAGATAAATAGACTATCCTGAAAGCTTAAGAAACAACCAGCATGATGGCACACGTAGATTTTTTTTTTCTTCCATGGTTTGTAAAATACATCTTGATTCTGTTCAGGACAAGTGAACTTCAGTGGTAAAGGGTCACTCATTGGATCTATAACCGGTAACAAATAGCTCTCAAATGGTAATAAAAACTGAACTAAGCTAAGCAATTCATTTTGCTTTTGTAAGGTATTGACCAATAACGACTTTTGGTTACCCTCTTCCTAGCTTACAGATGACCTTGTGATCAAAAGGCTAAAGGTTCTGTCTCTCATTATCAATCCACCAAGCCATCTTTCCACGTAACTCCTCAGAGAATCCCCAGCTCACTTGGAGGTTCTAGATGTATGGATCATCCCATAATTGGAGACATAAAATATCTGTACTTCAGAAACTGTCAGAGGTCTAACCTCAAATTCTGCTTTCTCAGACTCATTAATACTTACAGAATAACAATTAAGAAAAATAATATTCCTGGGATTACTGCCTAAAGATACTCAATCCATTCTTCTAACTGCTTTAAATACTATCTGTGGATTAAACCGTACCATCAGAGTTTCATATACATGTATCCCATCATTTTGCTATACCCCACATTGCCCACTAGATTGTTTATAGTATGTTTTACCTTATTGCCATTTATTCATTTTGATTAATTTTATAAGAAAGGAACTATGAAACTCATTATATTATGTGCTATCAGGAGGTTTTTTGGTCATTTTTCATTGTATCATAAATATAGGATTGAATACATATTGGAAATTGAGTTCTCTCTAGAGTATCTCTAGGTAATGAGATAATGGGTTCATTCTATTTTTCTTTTTTCCCTTATAATATGCATGAATCAATTTTCTAATCACTAGAAAAAATGTTTATTAAGTTGAAATAAAAATATAAATGAGCTAAAAGAGAATCTCAGATTGAGGATTTCATTGCTTGCAGATGGTGCTATGTATTATTTAATGCAATTTTTATGGCTATAAGAGTATAATCCTTTGTAGAATGTTGGGGTGTAGAGTAACTTCTACTAGATTAATAGGATTTCTTAGTAGCTTCCTTCTTTCCTTTTCACATGAGAAATTCTTACTTTTAAAAATAGTTTAAAATGCTTGTTTTTTTATTTTAAATATTTTATTTATTTATTTTGAGAGACACAGCATGAGCAAAAGGGAGGGGCAGAGGGTAAGGGAGAAGCAGACTCCCTGCTGAGCAGGGAGCCCAGTGCAGGACTCGATCCCAGGACCCTGAGATCATGACCTGAGCCCAAGGCAGATGCTTAACTGACTGAGCCACCCAGGCACGCTAAAACATTTAAAATAATATTTCATTATAACCCTCCTCTATAAATTGTCACTGTCAAAAAATAATCACAGAAGGGCACCTGGGTGGCTCAGTTGGTTAAGCGACTGCCTTCGGCTCAGGTCATGATCTTGGAGTCCCTGGATCGAGTCCCGCATCGGGCTCCCTGCTCAGCAGGGAGTCTGCTTCTCCCTCTGACCCTCCCCCCTCTCATGTGCTCTCTCTCATTCTCTCTCTCTCAAATAAATAAAATCTTTAAAAAATAAAAAAATAAAAAAAATAATCACAGAAAACAAAGTTCTAAGCCTTTTTCAACTTTATGTTGCTTGAAAATATTGAAAACCTTTCGAATATACATATATAGACAAAGGGAGTTGTAAGCATACAGTCAAAGGGCTGGGGGAGGGAAAGATACCTATTTAAGCAAGATTTTCATGAGCCATAAATGTGCTAGATAAGTTAAATTTGACATATTATTTAATTTTCCCAGTCATGCTGGTAAGTATTCTACTCTGATTTTGCTGATAAAAAATTAAGCTTAAAGAAGTTAAATAATGTCCTAGAGTAACATACTGGTAATTGACAGAATAGATATTTATGTCCTATTCTGATTCTTTCCATCATCTAATAATATATCCCATAAAAGAAGTAGTAAACTTCTAAATTTACAGAAATTTGAGGAAAATAATTGTCAAGTTGTCTTAAATTCATTTTCTCAAAGGTTCTTAATTTCTTTATTTTTTGTTTTTATCTTACAGCTAAAACATATATTGAGATACACTAATAATTTAATGGCTTCAATTAGTTTGAGTTTGTGGAATTAGAGGGGAAAATTTGTGTTTTTATAAGTTTGCTTTTAGTCTAAACTTTTCTGTTTTTTTTTTTTTTTTTCTTTTTGGTTGGGTGCCTTTTTCAATTTCTGTGCAGTATTGCAAGGGATGACATTGCCTTATTTTTGACAGCACAATAATACGCTTCTTTCACTTGCTAGAATGGAACTTCCAGGACAGCAGAAGACTGCTGCATTCCCAGCATCTAAAACAGTGCTCAGTTTGCATTCTGTAAATGTTTGTTAAATAAATGAATGAATGGATTAAACTGTGAATGTACTTCAGTTACAGCACCTGTCAGAGGGCTAAAAGGGGGATCTATTTTTCCAACTCATAGCCCCCCCCACACAAAAAAACAAAAAACAAAAAACAATCTAAATAAACACAATATACTTACTTTATGAATACAACTTCAAAAGTCTCCTAGAATACCTCTTCAACCAGATTGCCTCTTGTCAATCTTTCCTAAATAAAATTTAGAAAGCCCATTTTTTCTATCTCACCTGTTTTTTAAATGTGTTTTAAATAGGTTATTTTGAAACCATCCCAGGCACATGAGAATCAAAGCAAAGACTAAGAACTGTGTAATAAAGGATAATGAAGCAGTAGTAATGCCAGAAAAAAATCTAAAGTATGCAAATTAAAATTAAGAACAAAATTTAGGTCTTTGTGAGTTGGTAGGAAAGGTAATATGGAAGGATAATCAATTATATCATTCTAAATATTAAGTGAGAGAAGCAAGAAGCATATTAGTTTGTCAGGAGAGAAAACACAACATAGTCTTAATATTAAATTTTTAACTTTATAATTAAGAACGTAAAGAACACATTGATAATACAAGACCAAATCAAATATCCCTCATAAGCAAAAGTCTATATTGATAGTTTGCAACATTATCTTAGTGCTTAATTTATATTTCCCATTTAAGTAGAACAGTACACTTCAAATGAAATTAAGACTGATTTCTTTTGGAAAATTTTAGAAATAACAATATTTCATTTCCCAATTTATGTCTGGCTGCTGAGTGACTTCTCCTGAAAATTGGAATAGATACAATTTTTCCTTATTCCTCCTGCTAAGTACATCTGAAAGTCCTGGGCAGTATATATCAAAAAAACA